TCCGTAAGCACTGCCCCACTCCCTCTTGCTCCTCACTCAGCTCAGTTGTGACTAGAATCTGCTGCGTATCAAGTAAATCAAGCTAAGAATCAAAGACCGCTTACCATTCTTGCCACCTGTTAGGTAAACGTAAAGGTCCGCGATGGACAGTTTATATCAGTTCGAGCACTCTTGGATCCTGGATCCGAACTATCTTTCATAACAGAGGAGTTGGTTAATTTATTAAAACTTCCTCGATCACATGCTGCAATTCCACTCCTCGGTATTGGCGGAACGGATTCCGGACGTACGGGAGGTTCAGTTTTTGTTATACTCCATTCAAAAATAGACAACTCGGTTGCTTATAAGCTGCACGCATTTGTTCTTCATCGACTTACATTTCAGTTACCATTCTTTGTGGTAGCAAATGAGGCATGGGCTCATTTTTCCTATTTGGAGCTCGCGGATCCAAATTTTGGAAAACCCGGACCTATTCACGTCATCATTGGCGCAGACTCGTACGGACAAATTCTTAAACCCGAATTATTAAAAAGTAATTCATCACCGCTCATTGCACAATCAACGTTATTCGGTTGGGTGATATCTGGGCCCGTCACTTCAAATACTGATGATCATAATGGAAGAGTCTATCATTGTACGATCGATCGCGATCTGCAGGATCTCTTAGCGAGATTTTGGAAGCAAGAAGAAATTCCTGAATCTAACGCAAAAGGTCTAAGCAATGAAGAAGATAATTGCGAAAAACACTTCCTTTCCACCTTTTCTCGAGATCAGAGCGGTCGATATATGGTCCGACTTCCGCTTAAATCTCCTGCAACGTTGCTAGGGGATTCTTCTTCTACCGTACTTCGGTGCCTATCTCGACTTAATCAAAAATTCGAAAAACAACCCTCGTTTTGTGAATTATATAAGAATTTCTTGCAAGAATACCTAACGTTAGGTCACATGACTCCAGCAGTGGAACCTGAAGTCAGAGATAATCCCATGGTCTACTTACCTCACCATGGTGTACTGCGTGATGACAGCCCGACAACCAAATTGCGGGTAGTGTTCAATGGATCAAGTCCTACCAGTAGTGGTGTGTCACTCAACGATATCCTATATTCAGGAGCGAAATTACAATCAGATTTGTCTGACGTATTGCTGTGGTTTCGATCCCATAAGTATGTCTTTTCATCTGATATCACTAAAATGTACCGACAAATATTAATCCACCCTAGCGATCACAATCTCCAACGAATTTTCTGGTACGATTCCCAGAATCAGTTATGCTCATATTGCCTAACAACTGTGACTTATGGATTAAGCTGTGCACCCTTTTTAGCTCTTCGCGTTATACAACAACTTATTATAGACGAAGGGCATCGTTTTCCCAAGGCTATACCCTCGCTAGTTAGGGGACCATATGTAGATGATATCTTTGGAGGTGCTGAATCTATTGACGAAACGATGGAAATAATCATTCAGGTAACGCAGCTTTGCAACGCAGGTGGTTTTCCCTTACAGAAATGGCATAGCAATTGTCCTGATTTGTTAGTTAACATGTCCACTACTCAAAGTAATACTCTGCGGTCGAGTTAACTCCCTCACACATAAAGGTGTTAGGTTTAAGTTGGCATCCACAAGCGGACGTTTTCCAATTCATTTCCGTACCGTCAACAAGTCAACGACTTTCTAAGAGAGCTGTCTTATCAGAAATAGCACAACTATACGACCCCTTGGGTTTCATGGCGCCCATTGTAATTAGCGCAAAGATATTTATTCAGAGTCTTTGGTTAATCAAGATAGATTGGGATACACCATTACCTTCTAATCTACAGGATCGATGGTATAGTTGGAAGCAGCAATTACAGGCTATTAGTAACTTAAGCATTCCTCGTTGGAATTAATATCTCGTCTAACGCAGTCTCCATCCAATTACATGGATTTTCCGACGCATCTCAGCTTGCTATGGCAGCGGTAGTATATGTCAGAGTCGAAACGCCTGACTTTGAGATCAGAGTTAATATTGTTTGTGCCAAAACAAAGGTAGCGCCCTTGAAAAAATTAACTATCCCACGACTTGAATTGAATGCCGCATTAATGTTATCGCGTCTCATGACCACTGTGCAAACCGCATTAGCTTTAGAAGACAAGCCAATTTTTATGTGGACGGACTCGTCCGTAGTTCTTACGTGGGTTACTTCTCATCCCGCCAAATGGAAAGATTATGTTCGTAATCGAGTTTCAACAATCCAGGATATGCTGCCTTCCGCTTCGTGGCAATTCGTTTCCGGTAAGGAAAACCCTGCAGACTGCGCAACCAGAGGTCTAAGTGCACAAGATCTTGAACGACACCGCTTCTGGTGGTCCGGTCCGTCTTGGCTTCGTCAGAAGTTGATCAATTGGCCCAAGATAAAATCCAATCCCTCTGCTAGCGTAAATTTGGAAGAAAGTCCCAATCAGGTACTCGTTACAATACCTTGCACTAAAATAGCTCCTTGGAATCTACTAGAACGCTACTCTTCTTATACGAAACTTTTACGAATTACCGCAATATGTAAGCGTGCTGCTGATCGTTTTCGGAGGTTGTCGTCGGAATCGATTATGTTGCCTCTGACTCCACAAGAGTTACTACAATGTCGTTACTTTTGGATACGCCAAATACAAAAAGGTCATTTTCATCACGACATCAAGATATTAGAGAGAGGTGGGAGTTTACCGAAGTCAAGCCCCTTGATTCGGCTTACTCCATTCATCGATGAACTTGGACTTCTTCGTGTTGGCGGGCGACTCCAGCATGCAAATTTGAACGCCGATGCAAAACATCCATTTTTGCTTCCAAAACAATCACCTCTTACAAGATTAATTATTGCTGATGCCCATCTCCAAACTCTACACGGTGGCACTCAAATTACTTTAGCGCATACCCGTCAACAATATTGGATATTAGGCGGGAGAATCCCGGTTCGATCATTTATCCTTAAATGCGTAACATGTGCTCGATACCGTCAGACTCAAGTTAAACAGTTGATGGGTCAACTGCCCTTGTCAAGGGTTACTCCATCTCGTCCCTTCTCAACAACCGGAGTGGATTACGCAGGTCCTATAACGATAAAAACGTGGCGAGGGCGAGCCGCGAAAACCTACAAAGGTTATTTAGCTATTTTTGTTTGCTTTTCCACCTCCGCTGTTCATATCGAAATTGTCACCGATTACACTACAGAAGCATTCATTGCAGCTTACAAAAGATTTACAGCTCGTCGAGGAATCTGTACAACTTTACAAAGTGATAACGGGACAAACTTTGTCGGCGCTGATCACGAATTAAGACGTCGTTTCCAGTCAGCTTCAAAGGAATTGAAAGAGTTAGCATCACTCCTAGCTGATCTTGGGACAGAGTGGCGTTTCATTCCTGCAGCCGCTCCTCACTTTGGAGGTAAATGGGAAGCTGCAGTAAAATCAACTAAATATCATCTTCGTCGTATGATAGGTGACTCAATACTTACCTACGAAGAGCTTTCAACTCTCACCACTCAAATCGAAGCGATTTTGAACTCTAGACTTCTCTGTCCATTGTCTGAAGACGTAGAAGATTTTTCTGTGCTAACCCCTGGACATTTTATCCTTGGCGACGCTCCTAATGTACTTCCCGAACCAAACCTTATCGATCAGCCTAATTCTCGCCTAACAAGATGGCAACTTATTCGTCAAAAGGTGGAGCACTTTTGGAAACGATGGAAAACTGAATGCCTCCAACGTTATCAAGCTATCCTAAAGTGGCACCATCCATCGACTCAACTGAAAAAAGGATCTTTAGTCTTGATAGCAGATGAGCGCTATCCTCCAGCCAAATGGCCATTAGCTCGAATACAACAATTGCATCCTGGCGAAGATGGATTGACGAGAGTCGTCACATTGCGAACGGCCACCTCCACTCTCAAGCGACCTGTCACCAAACTGTTCCTCCTGCCCGTCAAATAAAAGCAAACAATTTTCGAGAATTCGCTTCTCGAAGGCGGGCGGAATGTTCTGGCGTAGCTCGAAGAGTGGTGTATCGGAGGTTGCGGCCGCTTCCGCGGTGAGAGCGCGAGCTTAACTCGCCATCTGCGCGGATCTGTTGCGCATAAAAAACGAGCGGTTACCATGGTTTTGTTGTCTTCTCGCGCTCTTCTTGTGGTTCTTGTCTTGCTACGCTTATTTTCGTTGACATTCGGTGAGGTTTCTAACTATTTACTCAAAAAACCTTAAAAAAAAAACCCCCTCTGAGGATCTCATGTCATATATCTGCAAACATACTTAAAAAGGGGAAACCTTTCAATAAGGTAAGAAATAATTAGCCTTTTGTCGGTGCATAAACTTGACGATGCCTGCTCGACTTCCGAGTGAACGATATAAATTCATGATCCCATAATAAGAAGCCTAAAGATTAGCTTAGGCTATTGGTTGCCCCCATAATTGTCCGATTATTTGGCTCGGATAGGCCGCCCTAATGAGCGTTCGGGGCCAGCCGCGGGACCGCTTTAACGGCGCGTCAATTCCAAGCTTTGCCTGACGATCAGCTCAGGTGGTGTCTCGCAACCATCAACTAAATACTAAGACGCCTAATGATTATCTTAGGTTGTGTTTTTCTTCCACCTCATTTATTATAATTTATTAATAATCTTAAAGTATAAATCACCAAAACCAAATAATTGTATTTGTCTATAAAATAAACACTGGTTATTTTATTTTATTTGTGAACTTTTTGCTGCGCACTCCCATCGACCGGATCTTTTCATACCATACATATAACAGTGGTATTGTTAATTCTCTCGCACGTAATGATGTCGACGCGATATCGCAGAGATATGGAATGGAAGGAGTATGGGAAACAGTAATTTTGAACACTGAGCAATATATAATATGCAATTATTTTTATTAAATAGGACTAAAATACAAGCGCGAATAAGGAAGGAATCAAATAATTCTGACAACGAAGTAATCTGTATATATTTATTTATAAGTATATTTATATGTATATATGTATGTGTATTTTATTATTTAATTCTCTTCCGAATATAACTATAGTGTTGTCAGCCTCCCAAAATTATATATGACGACGCGCTGTAATGAAAAAATAAACGAATAAGTCATCTAAAGAGAAAACTTTTTCACAAGCAGATATAAATGAAATACTTACAGAACCTTCCGAGCAGCTTTCAAATCTCATCCCCTCTATTAACAGTACTGACTGTTTCCGAAAACCTTCGTTTACCGTATCCAGCATCTTTGTTAATGAGGAAATCCAGTGCACAATCCCGACGTTGAAAACGATGACCATACTACACCATCGATATATTCAATTTCACCCATTTCTTTCCTCGAACAAACCGGACAATAAGTAGTATTACGTGATAACACATTCCGGAATCCAAGTTCCCGGTTGCGAAGCAATTGCTCGAACGATGGACATTTACGGTTAGCCATTTTACACAGACTGACTTTGCGCGATCCCCATCAGTATTTATATTTTTCGTTCCCCACTCAACAATAGTAAAAAAATGCAATGTTTGCGAAACCATGTCGCAACATGTTTCGTGATGACGTCATTATTTTAACACGTGCAAAAGTGCACCCCTTACAATAAAAAACGCATCCGGTGATGACATCAGTGTAATCTAATACAGTAAAATGCAACATTTGCAAATATATAACTGCTTTGTCAATGTAAGAAATTTTTTCAAGGACATATTCGGGGATGACATCATCAATGTAACACGAGCAAATGTGTACCCCTTACAATAAAAGACGCATCCGGTGATGACATCAGTGTAATCTAATACAGTAAAATACAACATTTGCAAATATACAACTGCTTTGTTAGCGTAATATAAGAAATTTTTTCAAGGACATATTCGGTGACATCATCATCAATGTAATATGATACAACACCTGCAAAAATGCAATTTCATCAAAGTATATCTGCTTTGTTAGCGTTATTTAAGAAATTTTTCGAGGACATAATACGACATGTCACAACATGTTTGAGCGGTGATCATCAATGTAATGTCACGTGACCAAGTAAATGATATAAAAATAACAAGATTTAGGTGCACTGCGCTATTAGTCAGTCTAACAGCACAAGTGACAACATGGA